CTTAGACGATTCACGGGTGTGTCGATCGAATCGGTGTCGAATGAGGTTCTTTATCGATTGACGTTTTTATTTTTCGATCGATCCATGTCGATCAATTTGACACTGAGTTTTGTTTAACTTTCTTACTGTCGATCGGTTCACGTTGGTGTTTTTCGATCAAAGAGACTTGCGTTTTTTAACATTAACTGTCGATCAGGTCACTTTTTTATTCTCCGATTTATTGATGCTAAGGCCGATCAAATCCAGAAGCGGATCCAGCTATTTTGCAACACCGGATTTCCTCCATTTTAAACCTTTGTTAAATAATCGATTCTTGACGGAGCACCGGGCCCCTCTAAGAATCGATACATTTCCCCAAGTTCAAATGGGGAAAAAATCAATATTGCCAATTCGCTGGATCTGCCAATGATCAAATCCACACCCTCCGCGTAAAAATACAGATTTATCTGTGTGCGACCATCGCGCGACAGGTCATGTGGCGTTTGCACTGTGGTTCTCTCAGCGCTATTTTCTCTCCTCAACGGAGGGAGTGACAGGGGTGCAGAAAGTTATCCGAGGTGACAGTTTCCTCAACTTCCCTGAAACATCCTCGAAACTTTCCTTTGAATCCCGTCAGACTTTCGTCAAATTGTATCCGTTTCGCTTCCGCAGGATTATTCGCGCTCGGGTTAATTCGTTGCCGTCAGAGGCTAACCACAACCCAAATCGGTGTCCTGAAAGAAAATAGTTTAAAAGAAGAGTCCAAATCGCATAAATGTTTGGAGCAAACAATATCTACGCTGTCAAAATTTCTCACGAGGATTACATGACCAAATGTCCATTTACACGTGTCATCGTAATGTCGCAATTGATTTGTTTGTAGAAATGTTTCTTTAACGAGAGAACGAGCAAAGAAAGAAAGAAAGTAAAACATGGGTAACGTTGCAAGGTGACTCAACCGGTCGATATGTCACTCCATTCAACACAAATTGGGACTAAAAACCCCCGAATGAGTTTCGGGAAATCTCCTGTGAGTGAACAGGACCACTAAGATTCACGGTTAACGAACAAAACTCCCCTGGAAACCTCTTAACCTGACATTCCCCGAATCGGCTAATCGAAGGCAATCTCAAATCCTTTCAACCGTAAAGTTTCGTCCACGTGGTTCGAAACTTGCCCCTCCTCTGATGTAAGAGCGTAACTGCCTTTCGAGGTGACCCCTGACGTCCACCAATTCCATGCTCCCTAGGGCTCATGACGAGATCGAGGTACGCCCTTACGTCATGTCAGAGGAACGACGAGATGACCGAACAAATTCATTCGTTTGGTCGACCTTCAACGCGGGCAAAATTAAACTCACTGAGGAAGAGTTCATAGAAACTATGCTTCCGAGGGCTGATTATTGACATCGATAGAGAAAGAAATAGACATAGGAGACAAAGTGAAAATTGATCGATCTGATGGGTTGAAACGAGTGGTTGTTATACCTGTATACTATGGAAGAAAATGGGAGTGCTCCCATTCAATGACCGTCAAAATTTCCGTGCTTCTTTTTAGATTTTCTCAAAAGTCCCGCAAAATGCAATAGATCCGGAACCTTTCGGGAATTTCGAAAGCTCCGAGAAAAATTCCGGAAAATCTCAAAAGTTCCGAAATTCGGAACGAGTTTCGGGAAACGGGAGCACTGGAAAATGGCGGACTGATTGCAGGGTCTTCCGTAGGTTTCAGCGTGACATAATGGACGGGCGGCCCCTCGAGTAAACGAAAAACTAAAAGTTGCCACTAACTCGTTTTCCAGGCTTTCGATGGCGGGAAGTATTTATTAATTTCGCTCTTGCGTATACGGGGGATTTTTAATTTAGCGGCCATTAAAAGAGCCCTGGGCCCTGCGCTTACGACGCACTAAATCATGACGATGATAAGGAATTCATGATACCCGCGCGCACGTTCGACCCCTTCGTATCGGTCGACTCAAAACCCGTCGCCCTTTTGACGTAAAAAAGAGCGTATGTGAATTTTGAGATGAGCCATTCCTAGCATGTGATGCCATGTTGTTCGGTACTATCGCGGGGATGGAGTTACGTCATTACTTCAAGAGACGCGACGGATCGACAGACAGAGGCACTGAAGCCAGGAATCGCGTCTCCGAAGACGCTGTAGGACTGGCGCTCAGTGGAAGGAGCTGGACAAGACATTTTAACTAAGACGGGGTTTTGGTAGTCCGGAAAACGTCGAAAGTCAGAGAATTCCGCGAGGCCCGGCGGGCTGATGGATGGGGGGAAAATGATCTAGTCACCTTTTTTTGCTCCTTAGAATGGGTTTAACGTTTCGGACGACCATTTTTGCCTGAAAACTATCTGGACGGCATTAAACAGAAAGGAACTAAGCCACATGAGCTACTGCCAAATTTATAACAGGGAAATTTTATTATTTAGAACGTCCGTGCGGATTCCTTTGAAAATTTTAAGGAATTTGCTTTGTATTATGGAGAAAATTCACTGAAATTTGCACAATATTCCGCACAACCGTTTTCATGTAAAAAATTAATTTGCCCGATCCAATTTGGCAATAGCTCATGTGGCTTGGTTCCTTTCTGTTCAACGCGGTTCATTTCTAAGTATGCCTTTCTATCATCTAGCATATTTTCAATTTTCAGGGAATTTTACCAAAATTTGTCAGGGAAATGTCAGGAACTTTCATTCTCTAAATTTTGTAGCAACCCTAGAAAACTACTTTTGGGACTTTCCAACATTTTAGGAGGGTCCCTCTAGAGAATGAGTGAGAACCCTGGTATGGTGCGGGACTTTAGGATCACCCTGTATAAGCTTTTAAAGTGTGCACATCTTGTCCGATTTCTCCTATCGGCTTTCCCCACCGTGCGGCTGTCGCGATGGGAAGGGGGAGGGAGGAGCCGGAGATCCTCCCAGGTAATAAAATAGAATAATTTAATGAAAGCTCAAATTGAAGCGGGAGCTGCGATGATGTCATCGGCTTAACCGCTGCTTCGGCGCGACCCGAGTCGGGGGACAGGAGGTGAAAATAATTAAGCAACTTCGTTTTTGACCCAAATCCGAACATACGCTCCCGTAAATCGGCTGTTAAAAACGGACCCGTGCGAATCTTTTAAGCGCCCCGCGTTGTCGAATCGATTCCAATCAAATCGAATTGAATCGAATCCAAGGTTTCCGCTAAGCTGTTGCCATTTTTAACGAATGCTCGAACATGAGCTAAATCAATTTCTCAACTTTTGTTTGTCGTGAGTCACAATCAGGCGAATCTGATTGTTGACATCTGAAAGTATCTTTTACATTTTGGGGAAGATAACAATGCGGGGTTTGATCAGCCGGGTCGACGATTTTCGAAGTTAATCAATCAGATACTGTGCTTTTTAAAGAATTTTGTTCCGATCCGGCTTAGAAACTGAAGAATTAGTACCAGTTTGTTCTTGAAGAAAAGCCTTAACCTTCGCGACCGTCGGCGACGCGAAACATAGCCTTCGACTACTCGCTAGAAAGTTGAATTATCATATGAGGTCGTAGCCGTCACCGAAGCGCGCCTTCACTTATTTGGTTATGCAACATGGACATCCTACGAGGTCGAATAGTTGCATCCAGGCGTTGTTGTAAGCAATGTCGCGTCTCTCTCCTGAGTAACTCAAACATGTTAGTATTGTAAAGCAGTGATAAGTGCGTGTTATGCAACTCTGTATTGCCAAAACGAGCTTTGAACTCAAATCAAAAACATTCTCATCATGAGGCTTCGTTTAGACCAAAATTGAACAAAATGTCTAAGTTCCCTTCTATGAAGGGCACAAAAATACCCAATTTTGACACGCTCTATTCTGCTCGGACGCTACAAGATCCATTTTTTTACTTCTTTTTTTCTGCACTTGCTGTTCTCGCTAATAAGATGACTGAGCGGCACAGGGACCCGACGCGCGTCGAGAGAAAATACAAATTGGAAGTATTCAGCGCGGAAGTAAGTTTGGTTAGGGGGAGGGGGTAATCT